CTGTTTCCAATATCGATGCATTGATGGCTGTTGAAACGTCAGAATTCATGTTGCGTGGCTTACGTTGGAACATGTCGATTTACAATAGAAGGGATTGGCTGGACATTCAGTTGTCCACCGTTGAAAATGGCAAGATACTCACTTGTGAAACGACAGTCACTTTCAAACTCATTTCCATCAAAGATGATGCGAAATCAATTGAACATGTGATCAACAAGAAAATGAGTAGCTATAATTTTTTGACAAAATTTAACTTTGTATCATGGGCTGAGTTATTTGATGATCAAAATGGCTTTGTTAACGATAATGCAATCGTGTTTGAAGTAAAAATCGTAGCAGAACAACCTGATTATCCTGGTTGCAGTGGCAGGAAACGCAAAACGGCCAATGACCAAAATGAAGATGCAAAATCACCGAAATTGGAATGCTCAATCTGTTTGGATGTTATTCGCGATCAAGAAGTGTCATCGCTGCGTTGCACCCATCTGTTCTGTACCAATTGCATTGAAGATGCCATCAAAGGACGCAAGATGTGTCCAGTCTGCAATGCTCCAGCCAAATTGACCGACCTAAGACGTACTCGTTTGCCATTGTAAGTGGAAATTCATCAATTAATTCTATTGTTGCGTAACTGAAATTAATGTCTTCGTTTGTTTTCTATTTATAGCGCAAATTAGGCCATCGCTTCCACTCAAATACAGTGAAGATCAAGTGGACGTAACATGCCACCAGAAAATAGAGAAAATATTACCATACTAACCAAGAAAATTTCTTTTTCAAATAACATAACCGTTTTTTAGTCATACTAAGAATTCATTTAATTTCAGTTCTTCTAGTTTAACTATTTGTCAAAGTACAACTTTTGACATAAGTGCATATAAAACCATGAGTTATGAATAAAAATATAATAAAATTTGATTTGATTCGTCTGTGTTCTCAGTTTTCCTGAAGTTCTATCTCCTGTGTTCGAAAATAATTTATTCTCTGGCGGAAAAGATGGAAACAACGTTGAATTTGGTGCATTCACCACAAGGATTCATTTTGATGTAAAATGGAACATGAGAAGAGATAATGCGATTAATTAAAATCAATTAAAACAAGGAAAATTGAAGTAAGTTTGTACAAAAACAGAATGGCTCTATCAAGAGTGCGATTTACAGTTTGCAATTCTGTTGTATTTATGCAAATGGTGCATAGCTTGACACATAAGTTGAATTAGCATGATGTACCTTTAAAGCATCGTTCACATCAGCTGAACTGTGTAGCTTTTCGAATAGAATGTTCTGGAACTTTCGATCTGTCAAACTACATATTTTGGCGCTCATTCTCATATTGACATTTGCCATTATATTATATAGATTGCAAGTATTCTTACACAGCAGAAGAAGGCTATTCAGAAGCCTAACACAATTTCTCTCACTTCTATTCGGCAGCTTATAAAAGTAAAATAAACCTAAGATATCTAGTATTTTATGTGCAAAACTATTAGTTTCTTTTTTAGTAATCGAATTGATCAATTTAATTTGTATAATTTTATTCTCCAGCGAAAGTACGATCATGTCATATGCCTCAAGCACTGAAAAATTTATTTACTCAATTTCGAAACTTGGTGTGTTTGACGAACAATTTACACCCGAAGTTATGATTCGAGGTGTGCCATGGTGTATTCAATTCAAAAAGCAGCGCATTGCAAAAGAGGAATGGCTTAATGTTTATTTTTGGTGCAGAAAGAAAAATGCATCACACGATTGGTCACACGCTGCTTTTGCTACAGTTAAATTGCTACCATTGAAGAAAAGTGTGGAACCAGTTGAAAAGTATACCCGACCATATATTTTCGGTAGCTCACATCGAGGTTGTGGTACAGTTGATTTCATCAAATGGGAACGATTAATCAACATTGAAAATGGATTTGTGCATGATGACACCATCCGGATAGAGATTAAAATTGAAGTCGCCAATGCAAATTATGAAGCAAAAAGCATTTTGATGTTTGACGTTTTGGACAAATGTTGTGAATACGTTAATCGCACATTGTTCCGACTGACTGTTTCCAATATCGATGCACTGATGGCTGTTGGAACGCCAGCATTTATTTTGTGTGATTTGCGTTGGAAAATTTCAATTTTTAATCATGCATCGCAATTGTTGGGCATTCGATTGGAAACCATTGAAGATTGTAACAAAGCTACATGTGAAACAACAGCCACTTTTAAGCTCATTTCTGCAAACGATGATGCCAATAGAAAAATGGGACTTTATATCGTGGGACAAATTATTTGATGATCAAAATGGTTTTGTTCGTGATAATGCAATCGTGTTTGATGTCAGCATTATAACAGATCAGCTCAATTTGGCCAATAAACGCCAAGCGACCGGTGGACAAAATGAAGATGCAAAATCATCGAAATTGGAGTGCTCAATTTGTATGGAAGCCATTCGTGATCAAGAAGTGTCATCACTACATGTAATCATATGTTTTGTACAAAGTGCATCGAAGAAGCGATCAAAAGTCGCAAAAAGTGTCCAATCTGCAATGATGATGCCAAATTGACCGATTTACGGCGCTGTCGTTTGCCATTGTAAGGGGAAACTGATCAATTTGATTTGTTATTTCATACGTAGGACTAATATTTACAGTGCAAATTAGACGGGATCAGATCCAAATCAACCAGAAGTCACATCTGAAGGAAGCGAACAGTAGCAACCGATTTGCCAATTATGCGACTATTTTCATAGTATTACAATTTCATATCCATATGGACCATATGTCTTTGATTGAATTTGAACCTTTCTTTTAGTCAAATTGTTACTTTTGACTTATGAATAAAAATACAATAAAATTTGATTTGATTCGTCTGTGTTCTCGGTTTTTCTGAAGTTATATCTCTCTGTGTTCGAAAATAATTTATTCTCTATTGGAAAAAGTGGAAATAACGTTGAATTTGGTGCATTCACCACAAGGATTCATTTTGATGTAAAATGGAACATAAGAAAATATTTCGAGCAATGAAAATCAATTAAAATAATCCAAATGTTTGTTGCAACTACACTCATTTATTTGGTTTGTTAAATCAGTATCTGGCTTTCTTGGCATACCATCTTATCGCTCACATATCTTGTAAAAGCGACCAAAAATCACTTGAAAATAAATTTCGCCTGTACTCACTACTCATGTCTATCTATTAATTAACAAAATCAAGTTCAAAAAGCTAGCCGTGCTTACGCGTGCTTATCATTTTAAATTATACTGTCGAATTTGATACATTTTGCATTATCTTATCGCTATAACCGACTAATTTTGAATTTAACAAAAAATAACAAAATAATCAATGCGATCGTTACTTAACTTATCTCAACCGGAATATCATACGGCAGCGAAAGTTCGCCCCAAACAGAAGCAGATTTCAATTTAACAAGTCCACATCGACAAAAACGTCACTTTTCAAAATGAAACAATTTTTATTATTCGGAGCTATTTTGTCAGTGGCAATGGTAAATTTATTGATCTTAAAGCTAATTGATAAGTTAACCCTATGGCGACACACTCCATACAGGCTAAGAGTTAATACAATGAGTCTAAATTCTACATTTATTTCAACATTTAGATTGCGTATGGTATTCCATCCGGTCAGAGCTTTGGTGAAGTTACTTTCCCAATTACTAATGCACAAGTCCAGTGTGGATTGGTAAGAATGTGACAAATATCAATACTTGAATATGGAACTAATTTACATCATTTTCTTGAATGCAGAAGTTGGCAAATGATTTAGTGCATGAACATTTCGAACTGAAAGAGTGGGGTGTAGCCATGGGCATTATTACAAAATCGTTTGCACAAAGTAATCAAGAATGTGCATCACTTCCGGAAGACGAACAAAAGTTTGTATTTTTCTTTCGTAAATTTACTTTTTTTTTACTATTAAATCACAAATACCTTCATTATAGAGACTGCTATGATGAACTAACGGCTGAAGCTAAGCGAGCTTATAAAGAACTCATTAATTTTCTACCAGAAAACCTTAGAGAACAATTTAAACAAAAATTCTTTAAATGTTTTCAATAAAAAGAACATGAACAGTGAACAAAGGAACTGACGATTACGTAGAAAAATTTCACAAACATGTTCGTTGAACAAATGGTTTGAATAAAACAGATGCAAACGAATTTGATTGTCTTTTTTATTTTATATTATGACAGTTAATAAATAAATAAGTTATTGTTTTGCCTTCTGTCCGTCCAATATTTCCGTCTTTGAGACGTCAAGCGCCCGCAGTGGATTTTGTGTAAGTATTTGCTGTTTTAAATGAAATTTTGCTTTGATTCTGTTGAATTTTTATTCAGTTGAATTCTGCCTCGGGCGCTGTACGCTCCAAAGACGGACAGAAGGTTTAAAGAGCTGATTGGAAATGCACGAAAATATAATAAAATTGCAGAAATTAGTTTGAAAATTATGCTTTAATGTCAATTTTGTCAAAATGATTTGGAAATAATTGTATTAAAATTACCCTGTTCCCAATGGAATCTATAAGACTTATGTTTTTCTACTTTATTACACTGTGCTTCTTCAAAATTTGAACAAGCGTTGGAGTAGTTGGTATTATCTAATTCGAGTCCAAGGAATTCAATGGTTTTTTTTTCGATTTTGTTGTGTAGAGACATTTGAGAGTAGATTTTTTCGGTTTAAATGTTGTGAAAACATGATTTTCAGGAGTTTTTTGGCAAGAGAAATCCAAATTTGACTTTTATTTTGCAACGCAATGAAGTTTCAAGACACATGAATACCAATTCATTTTATGAAATTCCAAAAATTACTCTCAAATGTTCCTGAGCAAAGGCTCAGAATCGATTATCTCAAAAACCCGCACTAATCGCGAAAAACAACTGCCTCTATTGAATTCCTTGGGAATCACGAATTAGATTAGAACAATTACTCAAAAGCTTGCCCAAAAAAGTGTTCAAAACTATCTCAGTGTTGCTATAATATATGCTTCTTGAAAAAATATTATGTAACTGAGATAACATTATCGCCATTTCGATTTTGAAAATGCCACACATGTGCCAATGATTTTGATTCGAAATATGCGGAAATATGTAGGTCTATCAGTCTCCAGCCATATCATTCTCACAAGTTATTACATAAAATATAGCAAAAAACACACGTTTATGCTTTATAAGTAATAGCTGATCTTATCTAACCTTCTTTGCTGCCAGATTATATTCTATTCCTACCAAACCTTCAAAGTATGGGGTCCAAATTCACTATCTTATATGGTTTTGAAAACTCGAAAAATTGAAAGCATAAAAAATAAATAATTGCAAGTCATAAGACATCAAGTGGTCAATTGAGATAAGTGGATTTATTTCTAAACATTTGCATTCAATAATTGAACGCTCTAGATTCTAGAATAAAAACAACGTACTGAATGGTTATATCAAAGCGGAACACGGCGTTTTTTTAACATAGATTTGTTGTTGTAATAACAATATAACAACCATTCTGTTCGTTGTTTTTATTCTAGAGCGTTCAATTTATCGTTCGATTGTTTCAGTTGTTGTTACCGTCAAACTAATTCATATATTGATTAATTTTTGGTATAAATACAAGTTTTAAATACATTTATAGTGAATTTAAAGTTGAAATAGCGCCGCAGCACACTATTAATTATTTTAAAACGAAACTTTTGTGGGTGACTTGTGTTCTTTTCTCAACAATATTGGTATTAATTTCAATCATTCTCTACGAATTTGTCAAAAAAACTTATTTTAATTTGACCGATCTTTTTATTCAGTTGGTAAATGCTGGCGTCAGTGTAGTCGAATCGGCCCCGATCACATTTGGTTTATTTAACCAATATGGTATTGGTATGACGCAGGCGCGCAAAGAAAATGTAACGGTGATGAATTTAAAAAACTGACCACAGAATATCCTGAATTCAAGCCATGGTTTGATGATATTGAAGGAACAACTGACAATTTATTAAATATCGTTAGACAATGTTCGAAACTTGAAGGAATCGATAGATGTAAGTGGTATTTGTTATAAAAATTCGGGGAACGATGGAAACATTACATTTTGATTCAATCTTAGGAGATGTGTTTTGTTATTGAACCAACATTATCAAGAAGAAATGGCACGTTTGTTCGGAGATTTAACAGAAGTAAGCTTTTATCGATTAATGATTTTGTCTTTAAAATACGAACAGGAACAAAAAATAGTTTTAGAAAAAATCAAAGGCGTCATGGAAATTTGTAAGAAGAGGGAAAAAGTGTTTGATGACATTACTTCTTATTGGGATGCTGTTTCTGTTCTTATATTTAAGACGTTTAGACATTTACAATTTCCTGATTTCTTTTGCTTGTAACAATGACTATGTTGCATGTCAAATGGAACGTCCCAACTTCGAAATATTATAATTTTCATATAGCTTTATAGATTCATGCCGTAGTAAGCTAAATAGAAGTTTGAGTCAAAATTAAAAAAAGTAAAATGTGTTTTTTTATTTCTTTAATTTCGCAAATTTTAACTTAAACTTTGAGTTTTATACCTAATCAGTCAACACAAACCTGTTGAGGTTCACATGAAAAAAAAAAACGCAGCAAATGAAAAATAAACTCGAACGACGACGATTTCATTAGACTTTGTGTACATTTTTTATCGTATTTGTTTGTCTGTGTATACTTGGGATAAACAGCATATTCTACTCGGTAATTAAAAAAACATTATTTTACCACGAAAATAATCATATATGGTTTAAACTCCAAAGGGGTATCTTTTTTTTAAATTCAAACAATAACAATTGAAAATAACAGAAAGATAAGGTGTTTTTCTACCTGAGTTTGCTTTGCATACTTTCGTAAAATACATACCATTTTCTATTCATTTGTCGTGATTATTGATCAAAGGAAATCTATATAACTACTGTTCACATACAATATTTGTTCAGGTAAGAGAATAAACATGATGTCAAAAACAGATAATTAGCATGCTGTAAAAATGTGTCATCAATAGTTCTTTCTTCTTTTTATAGCCTACCATCTTTGGAGGTACCATCGTGTCTGTAACAAATTAAATGATTTTCAATACGAGAGAACTTCGTTTTTATCGTCTATGATTCTCCATCCTTCTCTTGATCTCATCAGGTGTTTCAATGTCCATTCCGGTCCGTTCTCCCAATGCTCATTGGTTTCAAAATAGTCTTTCATTTATGTAAAAAGTGTACTGCACCAAATTTTCGTAACGTACATATTTCTGATTCTTTTCAGAACTATTTTGGCCAATATCGTGTATAGTGAACAAAATGATGAGTGCGACGCATTAAAGAACGAGTTTTTAATTAATTTTTCAAGCTGGAAGTGTGAAAGATTTAAAATATTGGAACTATCACACAATCAAATCAAGAAAATTTGAATTAACAAATAACATCATCGACATCGATTTGACACTTCAACTGAAAATTACTGAAAGATCGTACACATTTAGGAAATATTCAATCTCATCACCATTTTGGAAGTGGATTCGATGCACCTGGCGATTTGTTGAATTTAATCGAAAATTTCTCAAGGGATTCGGCAAAAAATGGAACAACTCAACGGATTCGCGAACTCGAGCATTTCAAATATGACGATTAACAGCATTGACAGCAATCAATTGTGTCGCTCATATTTGAAAAAAATCTTCAAATCAATCACATGGAAAAATTTAGATGGAGTTTTAAAACGGATTAAATATAATTGTTCTGATTACAATTACAATACATGCAAATCATTCATCAATTCAGTGGCTAAATTTGTATTGTGTAAGGTGATTTTGTTAGTGGTTTCGTATTTTTTCTTACTACTGAGTTCTTGTGGGGAAAACAGAGAGCAGAAAATATAAAAAAAAGTTCATTCAGTTCAAAGGTGAATGAAAATAGCGTTGAAAAATCGGTGAAAAGAATTAGTTTGCACACTTAAAAAAATATAAATTTCATTGAATGAATTTGAAATAGTCATTATTACATATACATTTTTAGAGCAAATATCATTGTCTCACCAATTTAAATGGGAAATTCAATATAGAAAAATAAATTATGATTACACACATACGTCCTCAGCAGGGGTCCGATTACCCCCCCTGACAAAGTGTTACCCCTTAAAAAATTTCAAAGAATTCTTTCAATTTGCTAGGGATTTTTGCCAAAAAAAGTACACTTTTCGCAAAATACACTTTACTTTTTTGCTTACCTCTTTCGATTTTTTTCAATTACCCCCCTTTAAATTTTTCCCTTGAGGACGTATGACTACACACTTCCATGGCTTTTGATACCGATTCATGTAAAGCTGTTTGAAATTAAAATAATGAGTTTTTTGCATTAAAATTTCTTAAATATATTTTGCTACTTGAAATAGCTTTTTTTAATTTTTAATTCAAATGTTAAATAAAATCGACATTTCAATTTTCATTTAAAAAATATGAGGTAAAAATATCTCGACAAATTCAAAGAAACATGGTTCAAAATAAAATATTGAGAAACTTTAGGTTTTTTCATGATAAACAAAAAAAGATCTTTTATTTTTATTTCAGCACATATTATTCACATATATGCAAATGCACATCTGAATGCAGGTAACAGAACAATTCCTTCTAAAAGTAAAACTTAAATACATGTCATGTGAATACTACTTTATGATAGAGCATTCAAAAATATGCGAACCTATACGAGGGTTGCTCCATAATTTTTTTTAAAAACATATATAACACAGTTGTTTTTTGTCGAAAATGGTTTTATTGTTTTTCAAAATATTCCCCGAGATGATCGATACACTTTTGCATTCGATGAAACCATTTGTCATAGCATTCGTGCCACTCCGAAACTGATATCTCCAAAACGTGTGTTTTGAACGCTTCAACTGCTTCTTCTGGTGTCGAAAATCGTTGACCACGTAGTTTTTTCTTCACGCTTGGGAACAAAAAAAAGTCATTGGGTGCCAGGTCAGGACTGTACGGTGGATGACCCATCAGTTCGATGTTTTGACCGGTCAAAAATCGAGTAGTTTGAAAAGATGTGTGAGAGCTCGCATTATCGTGATGAAGAATTATTTTGCGACGGTGGTTGTTTTTCCTTATTTCACCAAACACTTCGGGCAAACAAATGGTGGTATACCAATCAGAATTGACGGTCTTACGATCCTCTAGTGGAACGGTTGCCACATGACCACTTCTCCCGAAAAAACAGGCGACCATTCGCTTCGAAGTGCTTCTTGCTCGAACAACTTTCGTTGGGTTATCTTCATTTTGGAAGACCCATACAGTTGACTGCTGTTTCGTTTCGGGCTCATAGGCATATATCCACGATTCGTCACCAGTGACGATTTTATTAACGTCTTTTGAAGCACCACGATTGAATTTCTTGAGCATTTCTTTACACCAACTCACACGAGCCATTTTTTGTTCATCGGTCAATTTATGTGGGATCCAACGAGAGCAAATCTTTTTTACGGCTAAATGTTCATGCAAAATTGTATGTATGCTGTGGGATGAAATGCCCAAAGATGCCTCAATCTCACGGTAGGTCACATGACGATCTTCCATAATCAGTTTTCTGACAGCATCGATGTTTTGTGGCACAACAGCCGATTTTGGACGACCTGTATGAAACTCGTCTTTGAGCGAACTACGACCGCAACGGAATTCTCGGTACCAGTTATAAATTGTCTGAAGGGTTGGTGCTTCATTGCCAAAGGCCAAATGAAGTCGATCGAAACACTGTTGTTGAGATAATTTACTTCGAAAATCGTAGTAAATCATTTTACGAAAATCTTCACGTGTAAAATTCATTTTTTTGTTGAGTCGCAGTTTACCAGTCACTGTAAACAATACAAATAGCGTTCGTACGACAAAAGGTTCAGGGCACGAATACATACCAAAACATCAAACTTTACGAATATGACAATGGTTTACATCGGGCAACACTATAAGTACCATTTTAAAAAAAATTATGGAGCAACCTACGTACCTAGCTAATGATTCACATTGGTGAAAAAGATGATGACTAAAGTAAACCCGCATATTCATTTGGCATATTAATATCGATGTCTGCACCAGCTTCAACCAAAAACTGAACCATTTGCATTTGATCTGAATAAATACGAGAAATTTGATTTTAGCATAACGTATGACACATTCTCATTACTACAATGTGGAATTACCGTTTGCTGCTGCAATATGCAATCTAAAGTAAGTAAAAGATGTAATAATTAAACAACTTCATAAAAAAAGTTCAAGAAACGGATTCAAATATTTAGTCTACTTACGGTGTTGACGCGGGGTCTCGACTATTATATTTGATATTAATATTTGCACCATGTTCAAGAAGAATCTTTGCTACTTTAACAGAACCTACGATAAATAAACATTTTAATCGATATTGAGTTCGAATAATCAAACTTTGTCTTGCTTATTACCATTTTGAGCAGCGATATGTAAACTGTAAGTAAAAGATGCAATAATTAAACAACTTCACACAAAAGTTCAAGAAACGGATTTAGTCTACTTACGGCGTCCATTTATCTTTTTCTCTCATATCTACTTTGGCACCAGATTTTATCAATATTTTCGTAATTATCTCATCATCTAAAAAATGTAATATAAAATCGAAATGTAATTTCAGAGGAAAACACCGATTTTTCAATGATAGTTACTTTCTTGTGCGGCCAAATGCAATCTTTCCATTTCATGTAAGTAAAAGACGCAATAATTAAACAAATTTCACATCAAAATTTCAAATATTTGGTCTACTTACGGTGTCCATTCATCTACCTCCTTTGCATTGACATCCGCGCCAGCGGCGATTAACATTTGGACCAACTTTAGGTGATGGTTTAGTACTGCCCAGTGAAGAGGGGTGAAGCCGAGGTCCGTTTTCAAATCAGTTCTGGCATTGTATTGAAGTAAAATTTTGGCAATTGTCTCGGTGCCACTTTGGGCAGCGAAATGAAGTCCGCACCACTGATTGGGCCCTTGAATATTTACGTCGGCACCAGCTGATGCCAGAATTTTCACCAATTCGCTGTAACCTAAATGATATGAAATGAACAGCAATGTTAATTAAAGGTGACGACGAACAGAATTCAATTTTTGTGTGGACCTTTTGCTGCTGCTAGGAGAATAGGAATACGAGGTGTTGTCCCGCGTATAGTCGTTGGATTGACGCGAGCATGATATTGAATCAATAATTGAACCAATTTTTCATTGCCTAAAAAATTTCAGGAATAATTACGAATGAGAAGTCATATATGAATCTGTGCTTTGATTTTCCTACCTTCATCTACAGCTACAATTAAATTTGTGTATCCCAAACTATCGGCGGCATCAACATTTGCGCCATTCAAAAGTAACACTTCAGCGACTTTTTGACTTTCAACCTTTTCCTGACCTATCAGACCCAAGAAGTATAATATATAAAAAATTGCTTGAAATTCACGTTCATATCGTGAAATGTACCATTTTCAATAGCTAGTAAGAGAGGCGTCGTTTTATTTTTTGCTTCAGCATTAACATTTGCATTGTGTTGAACTAAAGTTTCGACAATTTTCAAATAACCTAATTAAATAAGAAAGTTTTCGGTTTTAGGACTAATATATCTTGATTTTGGTTAAATGAACAAATTACCCTTTGATGCTGCATAATGCAATCTAAAGTAAGTAAAAGATGTCATAATTAAACAACTTCATACAAAAGTTCAAGAACCGGATTCAAATATTTAGTCTACTTACGGTGTAAACCAACGATCTCCATCCTTTGCATTAACTTCAGCACCACTGTCGATCAGAAGATCAACAAGTTCAGTGTGTCCTTTTTCTGCTGCCAAATGGATGGCTGCTCTGCCAAATTTGGCATCATTTACCATATTAACATCGGCACCACTCTGAATGAGAAGTGCAGCCACCTTACCACTTCCTAAACAAAATTATAAATTGTTGTGAATGGACCTGAAAAGAATCGGCTATTTATTTCATTCATTCATTACCTTTATGGGCTGCCAAAGCTAATTTCGTCGTCAAAAAGGAACAAAATTAAAAAATATATATATTTCTTAAAATTTCAGAAACATGTGCAGTTTAAATATTACCTAAAGGTGAATACCCTTCAGAGTTTCTGATATTAACATTTGCGCCAGCTTCGATAAGAATCTTCGCGATTTTATCATTGTCTGTTTAAAGTAGACGTTTCAATCAATTGTTTTGGAGAATCAATTCCCTTGTGAAAATATTTTGACTTCATAGTCGACTATAAATTGACTAATTTTGGACAAAAATGGCTGATATTTCAGCCAGCTAAAGTTAACTATAAGTGACTATATGCGTCTTCATGTAACTTGAGTTGAGAAATGTCGATTGTGATCATAGTTAACTACGGTTAACTATAAGTATATGAAATTGACTTTTGTCAACTATGTTGACTATAATCACTTTTAGTTAACTCTGAAACATAGCCGACTATATTCGATTTCAATCATCTATTGGTAATTTTTATCGAATAAAAGTGATTGAAATTGGCTTAATTTATAGTCACTCAGTCATTTTTTTCACAAGGCTTTGAGAAGAAGAACATACCAGTAAATGCGGTTCGATGTAGCCTAAAGTAAGTAAAAGATGTAATAATTAAACAACTTCATACAAAAGTTCACATATTTAGATTAATACCCAGACCAGTTGTTCTTATATTTGGCATCCACCTGAGCTCCATGCTTGATCAGTGTTTTTACAATTTCCTCATTACCTGCAGAAATCATGATTCAATGGAATTAAACAGAGTATCATGATTTGCTGCTGCTCAGCATATAGCTGAGAGCTGAGAAATGCTGAACTCGTGCGGCTAACGCATACGAAACGGATGCACGCACACATGCATTCTCCTCGTTTAAATGGTTATAAACAGTTGGTGTTCAATTCAAAACTCAAAACTTAGTAACCAGTTGAGTTTGAAATTGTGTTGCGACCGACATATGAGCTGCGAGAAAAACATCACATCGCATCAGAGCATATACTGAGCATAGATATATATCCGGGATATTTCGTGAGTATCCGATATTTATCGCAGCCAGACATTATAATGGAGTGAAAACAATAGAAGTGATTGTTATAGGTCTAAGTATAAAACCATTTACATTACTACAATCACTATAACAATAACTTCTATTGTTTTTACTCTATTTCAAAGTCTGGCTCCAATGAATATCGGATACTGACAAAATATCCAGGATATATATCTATGCTTAGTATATGCTCTGCATCGCATCCCTCGTTATTTTGCTTACGTAAGTGAAAGCAAGAGATGAGATGCGACGTGCTCTCAGTCTTTCATATATTCTGAAAGTGTATGTCTAACGCATACAAAACGGATGCATGATACATATTCCCCTTTCACCTCGTATGTTCGCTGGTATAGTGTGTAACCGTTGTACCGGCAATAGCGTCAACGGCAGCACATACGAAGCGAAAGGGGAATATGTATCGTGCATCCGTTTCGTATGCGTTAGCCGCACGAGTTCAGCATTTCTCAGCTCTCAGCTATATGCTGAGCAGCAGCAAATCATGATACTCTGGAATTAAATTCAATTAATCGACCAAATTCGTTATTGACTGGGTTAAATCAATCACATTCGTGACTTTGTAATAAGCTGATTGACGTTTCTTTTTTTTAATCGGTGGTACTTTGTTTGTTCTTTGTGTTGTCATCTCTTTTAACTCTCTTTGGTTTGACTAAATGTTTATTTAAAATTCTACACAACAATTTTGACCATGGCACATCTGAGGAGTTCATTGATAAAGTCTTTCCGATTCATTACATTTTTCATTGAAATTATTTATGAGAAAGGTCGAAGAATCAACACAACGGTCGAAATGTTGCGTTACTAAAATGCTTACGGTAAACTTGAGACTTATTGATGTTTTCACGTCTATATATTTTACTTTATCACACATACCGAAATGCTAATGAAATGTTTACATATTTTGGTGCGCTTCCCAACTTTTCTAACTTTTTTTTATAAAATAAATGACTATAATATAGAATGAAATGGATGACTTAACAATATCAAAACTTGCAAGTTGGAAATTCCAAATACACATTATGCGAAATCTATATTCATCTTAAATGAATTTCATTTCAGTTGAAATAAACCAAGGTCCAGATTATCACATTTTTGAGAAAAGTGAATTTTTATTTGCATTTACCCGAATTCACTGCCAGTAGTATCGGCAACTCAAAATCGTCATATCTTGCATTCACATTAGCACCTTCTGCTATCAGTCTTTCAATTTCCGATATTTGACCTAAACAAATGCAAATCGAATGATTCATTTGATGGTTCATAGCACTTAGTTATATTCAAACATACCGGATTTAATATGATGACGTAATTGAGCGGACTTGTCAGATCTTAAGAACAAAACGAAAATAGATCGATAGCAGAAAACTTGATTTTATGATTTATTTTGTTTCTCACTTACCGACTTCTTGGACTAATCGCAGCGGAAATAGATGCCAAAGTGAGAGTGACTACGAAGAACTTCAACATTTTGTCTTTTTTGTGTGTTTTTTATTTTAAACTAAATAATAAAATTAGAAGCTTGTTGCTTTCCTAAAGTTTAACTAAATAATAAAATTAGAAACTAATAATTTTCCTTTTTTCCGATTTTTCATTTTCAAAAATGTTATTGTTAAAGGTTTAGTCTCTTTTTTCAATCAAAAAGGAAATTCAATCACAAAAAAAAAAACGGTCGAAAAAAGATAAAAATTCAATTGCTCACCTTCGTTAAAAAAATCGAAATAAATCGATGGACAGACTACAACGCAGTGGTATGACCGGTGGCTGAATGATCACTAGTGACAATGATCGCTGATCATCGATTGTTAAACCAACAGAGTTCAGACGATGGCTCAATATATTATTGCGGCAGCTATTTTCGCTCTCGTTCGCGTGTTAAATGTCAATGTTCCAACGTGTCGTAAAGGTGCGACCAAATCTTGTTTTTTTTTCTCTTGCGGTTTAATCTAATTTGCATATTCTTTATTTATCACGTTGGATCGCTTGCGATTAAAATAATCATTTCGATTTCATGTTCGAAGCAATCAATAGATCTTTTTTTCGCAGAAAGAACGAAACTGTGGAGAAGTGAAATTGAAACTGAATTCCAAATGCCAATTCAATGCTTAAAAGACTCTTTTGTAAAGACAAGTCATCGTCAAGTGTGATTGGGTTTGTTAACCTTTTTCTTCACAAATCAATTTTGCATCTCAAATTTATCTTTTGTGGATCTTTGTTTGGAGACTTTTTTATTTAAAAGAATGCAGACGTGGACTGGTTTTTACACAAATGCAGATGGATTAATTATTAATTTAAATTTCATTTTATATTACCGATGTGCTCGCATCACATTTTTGCACAGAACCATTGAGAGAAAGACTTTGGACTCTCTTGTAGCCTGAGAAAAATTGAAAAATGATACATTTCGATCATGATACCATTGTTACATTGTTGTTGGTCACGACAAAACGATTCGGGATTACTTTTGATAATCTGCACAAGTTTTGATCACATTTTAGAGTGATATTTTGAAAAATTCCATTTAAATTCTATCGGATGTCTTATCAAAGAATTATGTGAAGTTAAATGTTGTGAGTAAAAAATCTATCGAATGTGATAACAGGAAAGTATAGTTATAGCTTTTGAATACATGCTCTCTTATCACATTGAAACAGAGATGTTTTTTTGTGATTAAAGAGAACGACCTTGAATTGAAGCATTTGGCAAAGTAGCAAGCATATCACTCAAAACTAGATTAAGCTGAAATTTCTTGGTAAAAAAATCGAAATGCTGTTATCATAGATATATATTCATCGCGGTGCGTTTGATTCTTGCATATTAATTTAGGACAGCCTAAGCAATGGTACTATTGGTACACACCCTATTGAATATAATTTATTATCATGTGCGACATACTGGCATTGCACCCGTCGTCAAATTTCTATGCTATTTTAAGTTAAGTGGAACTGATAACAAAAGTTTTTATAAGAGCCTATTTTTGTTCTCTTCTTCTTTTCCTGTTTACGAAACACATTCTTAAACACAATAACAACTCATTGGAGTACACTTGTGGTGTTTGAGTATATGGTTAAAATGATGAAACCATAAGACGATTTGAAAAATTTATAACATGCATAAATTTAAACATCAAAACAATAAATGCCTTAATGGCAGTTGGGAGATAATTCAACGTCTAATCACTGAAGTCTTCATTGGAATCCCATGATTTTCATACACGGAAAGAAACTATACAATGAAAACTAAGACAATCCGTATAAAATTGTATTTGTCCGTCTAATTTCATACAAAATATCGTTTTTGTGTATTCTCTTTTATGCGGACCTTCTTCAAAGCATAAGCGAAGGAGAACCGCACAAAAGAGAATACACAAAAACGATGTTTGGTATGAAATTAGACGGACAAATACAATTTTCTATTGTTTTGCACTTCGTTTGTTTTTACCACCCTTTTGGAAATGAGCATTTGAAATTCAAGTGATAAGACAAAAATATATTGAATGTGACAATGGTCAGCAGTACCTGACCATACTATACTATAAGACAGTATTTCTTTGACTTTCAATCGAGTTCAATCTCCTGAAAATATCGACATATATTGTGTACGTATAAAATACAATTGGTTGGTTTAAATAATAGCTACAGATTTTTGAGTAAGTAATTTGATCGAGGGAAGGAGTTTATTTGGTTTTGATAATCAATTTATGACCCAAAAATGATTTTGAGCATCACCTCAAATCGATCGGTCAAACATTTGATAATTTTTCCCAATCTTTCTAATCTCAATATTAGCTTCCAAGTACTTTAGAACAGTGTGTCCATAATATATAGAAATATCACTAAATAGTGTCGATATCTATACTATATCGGTCCACTATATATGAAAGATATTGCCGCACGGCACCGTATCGCACGATCGAAGTGAGTGTAGACGGAAAAAATCACAAATTGCCATGCGGCAGTAGAAAGAACTGTGTGTATGCGTCAACATGTTTGCCGTCCGCACTCACTTCTATCGTGAGCTACGGTGTCTTGCGGAATATCTTACATATATAGTGGACCAATATAGTATAGATATCGACACTATTTAGTGCTATTTCTATATGTTATGGACACACTGCTTTAGAATATTTGTTCATTTCGAACAACTAAAAAGGAAGATTTTACTGACCATGAAGTATTCATTTCAAGTGATCCATTTTCAATTTTAATTCCAACAACAGTCTTCAAATTATGAATTTTGTTGTTGAAGACGCACTCTGCAAATAAAAAATAAGTTTATCAATTTTATTAACAAATTGAACACGCGAAGTTTTTTTTGGCTCTATCATAATTTGGCCATATTTTCTGCTGATGCCAAATGGTCAATGAATAACGATTGAATTAACACAAAAACAACTATGACGTCATTATGCTGGAAATCACGTGATATTCCAATTGAATATGTCTCAATATAAACTTTCAAATTGAACAATTATTCTAATCACAGTGAATCAGATCCTATCTCTTTTACCTAAATAAGAGCGGATTTGCAGAGAGAAATTTAGTATCAACTGAACGCTCTCTGGCATAGCTTTCACTTATAAATCCCATAATTTTACAAATAATTGTGTGTTTATTTTTGATCAGTTAAATGTAAGTTTTGAAGGAATGTAGAACCATTTGAATGGGCCTTTCTTAAAATGAACGTCGATCTTTTCAAAAAAATATTTCACAAATGATTTTCTAAGTTTTAGGTCCGGAATGTGTAGAAATATCCGAATATAATGCATTTTATTTCTACATCTTCCGGATTTATTGTCTATTTATTAGACACTTACTCGTTACATTCAATGAAAACCGTACCATATTAATTGGACTATTTTTTTCTTTTTGAAAGTATCCGATTTAACTGGCGCAAGATGAAAATTTTACTTGCAATTGGTCTTATTATCAGCGCAGGTAATTAAAACACCTAAAAGTTATGCGCAACATTTCTAGTGAATAGATTGAGCTACAGCTGTAGTAGTGCTATTTTTACAGCTCCTATTCATAGGTGCTGTTTGTGAACAACGCATACGGACAGCGATTTTATGATACAATTCCGGACAATGGACCTGTTTATGCAAAAAAAAACTACTAAAAACAATAAGTCGTTCGGAATTGTATCATAAAGTCGCTGTCCATATGCGTTGTTCACAAATATCACATATGAATAGGAGCTGTGAGAAGAGCACTGTTATTGCTGTAGTCCAATCTATTCGCTGAACATTTCTGATGATTTTTTTATATTTCGAATTCATTACAGCATCTGCAATCGACGTAGTTTCGGTGGATATCCCGTAAGTCTAGTCAATTTTTTTCTAACGAACATAAATTTATGAGTGCACGCAACCGTTGTGTGTAAAAAATGTGTAACAAAGTAAAAGTTATTTATATTATATAAATCATTAGCAGCGAATTCCACCAGCGTGTCTCCAAAGGTAAGTTTTCAAATGTCATGTAAAAATTCCATGAAATTAAAAAAATAAAAAAAATTTAAATTCAAGGTGGTTTACCGGCGATTGAACAGCTAATCGATCAGGGCGTTTATCTTAACTCTAATGGCATGACTGAAAAATATAATGGCATGACTGCATTAAGCTTGGCTGTAAAAATGGGTACATTATTATTTGATGTTTTGAAATGAGCTAGAAATTGTTAAAGATATAACTTTACATTTCAACCCGTTATGGTTCCTTTCAGGTTACGACGAAGTCGTTGAATATCTTGCCAAAATTGGTGTCGATTTAAATCAGCCGAACGATGACAAATCGACGCCGCTTGAAATCGCACTCGAACTTGGTGAGTTAAATACACAAACTCCTGTTTCAAGAATTATTGAATATTTCGTGATTTCATTTAAATTCAGATAATATGAAAGTGGCAACAACTCTGGTTGAATATGGCTGCGAACTAAAATTAAATAAAAACGAATGGAGATTAATCGCTCTTGGATGCTTCGCACACAACGGTAACAATTTTATAACCGCCTTTGATTGAATGTGAAAATAATTCGACTAAATTTTATTTAGTGAGTGCATCAGCCTTCGAGAAATTTGAAAACCACGACATTAATATAACAGCGCTATGGAAAGAGGCTCTCAAAAAGGCTGTGCAAAATAGTGAGTTTAATTAAAAAAAAAAAAAAAAATCAAACTAACCGAATGTTTCTACAGATGATCTTAAGGGAACAGAACAGTTAGTACAACATTGTGGCATTGACTTGAAACAATTACGTGATTCGTATCCATTACATTGGGCAGCAGCAGGAAGTAGATTTATGATCCACATTTGTGGCCTTTTTGTAAAATTTTCGACTAACTAAAACGAAAATTCTTTAAACAGATCAAGTGGAGTTGATGAAATTTTTAATCGCACATGGGTCAGATGTTAATGCATCAGATGGCTATCCGGAATGGAGACCTATTCATATGGCGGCATGGAGTGGTAACTATACCGAAGCATAGCATGCAGTGCATTCATCGTTTATAATTCTTTCCATTAATCAGATGACTTTTATTCGTTGTGTCAAAACAAATTTATTCAATGACGATTTTCAATGCACGCAGGTCACACTGAAGCCGTAAAATTATTGGCCAATAGTGGAGCAGACTTAGATGCTAAAAATGTTTTCGGTTACACCGGTTTGATGTTTGCAGCTTGGCACGGTGACAAATTACTGAAAGAAATGTCCAACGTTGTTTAATAACTCTATTTTTCTATCCATTTTACTTCTGATTAACTTAAATTTAGGTTATTTGAAAATGGCACAGCTTTTGGTCGAGAACGGAGCCGACGTGAATACTGAAGACACCAATGGAGACACGGCTTGGAATCACGCATTGTTAAATGGTAGGCGCTTATATTTATTCTAAAATTAACAAAAGAGGCATAGAATTTCAGCATAGTTTTTCTCAAACATTATATCTCGCAAGGATACATATATATTTTTTTTGAAAAACAAAAAAAAACACATTTTTATAGAAATTGTATTTTGTATTTCAAAATGGTTTTTGATCGATTTTTTACATTTTAGGTCGTGATGAATTGGTCGAATATCTTTCAAAATTCCGACATGTTGAAAAAGAAATCGCGAAGGACTCCTCTGATGAAAATATCAAAAATGAATATATGATTGTGAATGCACCTGCCTCTTCCGACGAGAAATTAGGTATTAATTGAATTTTATATTAAGTGATGCGTTATTTTTAATTACATTTATTTTCGATTCTTTCCAATGTTTCAGAAGATAAAATGGAAATAGTTAAAATCATCATTTTGAAAGACTTTAAAGGAGAATCACCGATTAATAACGTAGTTGTTGAAGAAGGTAAGAAATATTACCAAAGAGGCGTAATATTTGAATGCTTTGGTGATTGCAATTATTTTCTGCTATTCACAAGAATTTCACTGAGTACATGTTACTTCATTCACAGGTTATACTGGGAGAGCAAAAAGTTGGAAAGAGGCAATAAAGAGAAATCCTCTGCATATCTTCACTTTTCCAGATGTAATATAATTTCACAATCTTTGAACTTTTCTTGGGCTTTTTTTACAACGTTTATTCAACCATAGACCTTGCATAACATTTATATTTAACACATAATCATTTTTGACGATAATTTCAATGATCTTTTAATGTACTGAATATATAGAGAAATAAAAATGTGTCTTTTAACTGCACGTCATTTTCAAATTATAACAGACGAAAATAGAGATTCTTTGAAAAAATGCTTGATATTCAAAATTGTGAACGAAATGTCGAAATAGAAGAAAATCGAATAATTTAATTAGAACATCGTGTGAAAAGTTTTCTCTCAATTTTCGGTTCAGTTTGGTCAATTTGTTGGAATCAATCAGAAGATAGGTAACGCGATAACGAGATTCTGAATAATAATTTTGTATGAGAAATCAATCAGGGAGAATTGTATTATTAGGTGGTGAGTTACCCAACAAAAAACTTTAGCAAATTGAGAGAAGGTTCATTCTCTCCGAACCTCTGCATTTGAACACTAATTTTTTTCTTCTACGGCCACACGTATCATAATCATATTTCAGCTATGTTTTCTTATTATATTGTCATGAAAATATAATTTCAAATAAATAAAAATGTGAGATAAGTAAAAAATCGATTTTTTTAAAATAAACAGGCTCGATCTTCTCCAGAGTGAGGGTGTAATGCTTCGGTATAGTTCATATGGGCGACTAGATTGGTCCCTTTCTTTGCATTAGCAGCTTTTTTTTCTTGGCTCCCAACAACGCCAAAACCAATATGTGACTGTTTTTCCAACAACTGAATATTTCAACAAAGAATAACGAAAAAATTACATCAAATTATCAATGTACGTCATTCAGTTAAAGACTTATATAAACAACAATTGTGAGAATCGTATTTTTTTATTTCATGTGTCGTTCAAAAGAAATTTTTACATTTTTTCACAGAATTAAAGTTAATTCGAAACATTATTTGTTCAGCCAGACTTAATGCCTGTAACTCGTTCAACTTTTGAATTAAGTGTATCAATTTGTTTGGAATACAGCTCGTGGGTATTCAAATGATTTAAACGCTGCATAAATCCAGCAACAGTTATCATATTCGGTGAATGAGAAAAACTCATTAACAGTTGATTATATTCATGCGCAGCATTGTATAGGCTATCATAGTATGCGCCATTCCCTTCAAGGATTTTGATACGTAAGCTGCTTGCCATAGGTTCATACGTTTAAATATAGGTTCAAAATCATCTCCCAATAACTTTCTCAAATCTTCAACAGTTCGATAGATAGAATCTGTTACCAAGTTTCCAAAAGACTTGATGCTCATGAACGGCTCCTCGTGAAATGCTATATTCTGAATCGCTTGTCCACCTATGCATCCAAACGACTGTTGGGCCTATGATTTCAAAAAATGTAAAAATTGTATTGGGATTAAAATGATAAATAAATGTGAAAATCTAATCTAAAGACCTTAATTTAAGTTTTCATTTATGTTTCTTCGAAATGATCGCAATTGATCTTACTCACCCCAAATGCAAATACAAAAGTTATCAATATGAAGAGACGCATTTTTGTTTGATGTTCGATAATTACTGATGATCACAAGCAATTGAATTGAAGCTTTTATACCATTTCAGCTGTTTTCAATTCAGTAGAAACATTCATTCTTATTCGTTGAACACAAATAATGTGCGCATTGCGCAATCAACAATGAATACGTGCACAAATAAAGTCGTTTTTCCTGAAGGAAATAAAAAAATTAACAAAGATGGATCATTAAAATTGAATAATTCAAGAAAAATACATACATACCTATAGTTCTGAAAATCTCACATAAAGAGAGTTCTAGCCATTTAGATAAATTAATTCGTCTTCATTCACAAACATCTGTATTTAATTTGTAGCTTCGTTTTATTCATCGAAAGAGTTCGTCCCATTTGTCACAATAACTTTCATTGAATTGAACCCTTCTATGTTCGACACAACTATTCCATTTCAATTAGAATACAATCAATTACAATATTTTCGATATTTTTTCGTTTGTCTCTAAACATTTAACAATAGTGAAAAATTGTTCAGTTTGTAATATAACTCATTTGGTTTTGTTCTGATGACGTTTTTGATGATATTTCAATTGAGATTTTTGAGTTAATCGTTTTGAGCAATGAGAACAACGGAATGGTTTGTCTCCGGTATGAAGGCGCATATGTCTGACTAAGTTTCCTTTGTGTAATGTAGCATATTTGCACACGTAACATTCAAATCGCCGTTGATTACAATTTTTCTCATGTGTCTCTTTAGTCCGCTTCACAGTGAATCCTTGTCGACAAATCAAGCAATGGAACGGGAATTGATTTGCGTGAGTTCTCATGTGCCTTGTGTGATGAACCTTTTGAACAAATCCTTTTGCACAAATTTTGCATTTAAAAGGCAATTCACCGGTATGAATGTGCAAATGTCTGACTAAGTGTGTTTTGTGTAATGTAGCATATTTGCACAAATAACATTCAAATCGCCGTTGATTACAATTTTTCTCGTGTGTCTCTTTAGTCCGCTTCACAGTGAATCCTTGTCGACAAATCAAGCAATGGAATAGAAATTGATTTGCATGAGTTCTCATGTACGTGTTCATATTTCCTTTTACAGTAAATTTTTTCGCACAAATTTTGCATTCAAATGGTTTCTCGCCAGTGTGAATGCGTGTGTGTATTGTCAGATGTGACATACTTGGAGCCACATAATTACAAAACTCACATTTAGATTTGGATTTCCCTTTTGATGTCGATCCATTCTGTTGTTTAGCGTGAACTGGTTTGGTTTCATTCCTTTGATTTGACGAAGAAAGCACTCTTTTTGATTGTTTCGAACTGTTTGTTTCCTTTGATGTCAGATCAAGGGGGGTTGACGTATATGAGATTGGAGACTTTTTTTTGCGAATCTCGCTAATGAGCGCCATCTGATTTTAGTGTGAATTAGATGCAAAAATCAAATTTATTTCAATAATTTGGAATGTATTTGAATGTTATAGTTTCAACACAAAAATTGTATTAAAAATCATTCAAGTAAATCAAATTGAAATTAAATCAATTAAAAATCATTGTACACACACATAAAGCATATAAAATAATACAACTAAATTATAAATACTCACACCATTCTATGGGAACCTAACAAAATCGTATTATTTCAAATTAGAATTATTTTTATTTCATATAAATGATTCTATTTATTTTTTCAAATTCATTCTATTAGAATTATAAATAAATAAATTTCTATTTATTACAGAAAATAATGATTCATTATTAATGAAACAGAAAAAATTCTCCACAATGTGAAAATACGAAGTTACGTATATATTATGACAGCTGTGGTTACGTATACGTCGACATTAATAATCTGTCAAAACCGTAAACACATTATTTTCATAACGCAATTTTGCGATAGTTCCTATTAGTTGAAAAAAATTAAATTTTTGTGTGCAAACTGTAAGTTATTTTGTGATTTTATTGTGTTTAGATTGAATACGATTTCATAAATTTTTGAAAAGTGATTTTACAGTAACAAGAAATGTAAAGCAGAGAGAAAAAAACCAATAAATGAGTTTAGAACGTTTAGAATCATATGCACATTTTCGTGATATTCTAACCTCAATCGCTCTTTACTCTCAGTTTTACATTCTTTATATCAACAATTATTTTATAATTTAAACAGGAAACGCAAAATGGTTTAGTGCGATGTATGCCAGCAGAATATTTCGGGAAACATTTACAAGCACAAAAGAGTTGAGCACAGTTGGGATCGAGGTGGTATTAAATTGATTAAACAGGAAGATAAAACTCTGATCGAAGCTATACAAAACGAAAAAACATTCGTTGGACCTTCGCTGTTATATTTGAAACGTCTCGCAAATTATGCGGTAACACAAAATTTTCAAGCCACATTTTTTGGAGTCGACTCACCAAAACCAGAACTTGTCATTACAACGGGTACAATTGCAGAGAATAGGAACTCTCGCAAAATTGCGTTATGAAAATAATGTGTTTATGGTTTTGACAGATTATTAATGTCAACGTATACGTATACGTAAACACTTTCTCCACATTGTGGAGAAAAAAACAGATATGTGGCATACCAAGAGATGGTGTTGTATGTTATGAATCTTTTTTCATTGTTTGACATCAGGGGGGGTTGTGTCAGATCAATCAGTGGCAATTCTGTTTTCGAATAACAAAATTCATGACTGAAGTGAAATTTTCACACTCCACAATCGAAATTCTTACCTGAAGTCGACTCCGGAATGGTTTTCAGTGTTGAACGTGGTTCAATCTTCCGTTTCTTCTTTGGATTCCCATTCGATGTTGATGCCTCAGCAATTTTTCTCTTTCGTTGATTCCGCTTCACTAGATTTTTCTCATTCTGATTGTTTACCTTTTGTGCTTCGACGTTTTCAATTGTCAAATCAACAACTGCTAGATTATTTGGTCTTTCGACGTGTATCGCCTCCACTGCTGAGGCATTTGTTACAATAACCTCGTCACATTCACTGATGGCTGAATCTGGTTGAACGTTTGTCTTTGTTATTCCATTTACAGCTGAACTGTTTCGCATCTCATCTTCACTAATGCCAATTTTATCCGTGAGAATAGTTTGAGGCTGGTCAAATATTGCGGACATTGTGTCGTTTCCAAGTATTGCTCCAAGCGATGCTGTGACATTGTTCAGATCGATGTTATTGCTCACAAACGATGCGAACCCTTGAATCGTGTCATGGCCTTCGGTTGTATTTGGCATTGATTGATTAAGATTGGCTCCGTCATTTACTTCTGACGCCGCCGATGATGCAATCAAATCGATGGTTGGCTGCATAATGCTCTGTGCTCGACTATCCATTATTGTTTCTGTATTCGAAGCTTGTATTGGATTGTCACTGCCAATTCGGTTTCGATTCAGGCCATTTTCATTTAAAGCATTCGCTTGAGTTACGTTGACTTGAGCGAAAAATGATTCACTGCCGAGCAGCTCTCGGAGCGATGCTGTGTCATTGTTCTCATCAATGTTTTTGCTCACAAACGACACAAATCGTTGAAGTGTTTCATTGCCTGGGAATTGTATTGCAGATAATTCATGGATTGGGGTCAAAGCTGACATTGATTGATGTTCATTCATACAATTATTCATTTCTAGGCAATGGGTGACTCCACTTGTCTCTGGATCTCCCGCTTGTACAATGGAATCGATGGATGGATGCACAGAATTTTGACAAGCCGTTGTCAGTATTTTGTTCGATGTTTCGATTGGATTATCCCTGTCAATTCCGTTTCCATTCAGACCATTTTCACTCGGAATAGTCGCTTGAGACTCGCTGAGTTGAACGGTCAAAATTGGTTGGTTACCAATCATTGCTTCGATCGATTCAGAGGCATTTTTCGGATCGATGTTTTCTTCCACAAATGTGGATTGTTGGTACGTTTCATTGCTCAGTGCGCGTACTTCAGAATCTTCAGATCCATTCGGTCCAGAATTAATTTCTGTTGAAAATGGCAGTTTTTGTAGCCGATCGGGGAGTGCATTCATCTCTTGACTTATTGTTGGTGTAATTGCTGCTCCTCGCTGGTAATTATTCGATTGAGTGATTTCAGTCTCACCGCTTATATCGGTGGTCGTCTTCTTGTTGGTTGAATCGTGACCTCGAGATCGAATCCCATTGAATTGCACTTCCAAGATGAATTCTTCGTACACTTGAATGATTCTATATAGACAACAATGAGAAAACGAGTGTTTTGTTGATACTTGTTCATGAATTCACGTGGAACAACACTGGAAATAATATCAAATGGTAAATAAAAATGGTTTCCTTACCGAGCATTCGTTCTACGTAGAAAGTACTCCTTGAATTTCTCGTCAAATGCCAATCCGCTGTACTCGAAATCATCATTCACCTGTTGTAGTGTTTTCTCCGTAGCAACTTGAGTGTTCGTCCAGTAGTTGGATAGAGTCTGGTGCCAATTTCCGATCATTTTTCCTGAAAATATACAGAAATTGAAGGCAATCCATTATTAAATTTCGCTACCAAATCATCACACATTGATTTTGTGTCAACCGAAAGCAAATTTTGTGTTCAAACAAAAGCCAATTAACGCAGAGAGACTCATGTAACAAATCTGTATTGGTGTTGTGACTGTATGTTTTACCGTTATAGAGAAATGACCTCTATCGAATTAATCTAACAAAATCTCTGCATGAAATGGCTTCTTTTTGTATAAAGACCCAACACAATACCAACATAAAATGCCATTTTGAATGCCATTCCCTGTGAATTTCATTGTGTTTTGTTGCCATGGCCAAAATTAGATTTCCAACTGATTGCTTACCCGAATGTGAGGTTATTCCTCTAGATCTCTGGCGTTCGTGACGATTTTTGCTGGAATTTTACTCTTTATTTTTGTGATTGCACAATTTGCAATGGTTTGAATGCAATATATCCTCTTGGATTTTATCAAATAAGTGATTCGGTCGTTTTTTTTTGTATAAAAAATAGTCAAATAACAAAACATACACACAGAGCGTACACAATAGCTGTTTTTTTTGATACAGAAAAACACAAAGAAATGACTTGTCATTTAATAAACGTCACAGTGTTCTTTATTATGGTTTACACTCAATGCACAATCGATGCCACTCTCCACTTCGCCAATTAAGTACACTTGAGTAGATGCATACGAAACATTTGAATGTGAACCGATTTTTTACACTTTTCCATCGTATTTATCGGAATGAATTTCCAATTTTTGGCATTATATCTTATGAATTGTAAACATTTTTCTTTTCAAAGAAAGTAAAGACATTTTTGTTTCAAACATTTTCTTCTACGAGAAGTGAATGAGACTACGTTAAGGAGTAATTCAGTAATTATTTTGATGTAAGTTATTCAAATGCATTTGTGACTAAATTCAAAAGTTTTCGAATTGGTTCTGTTCTTTTTTGTCATCACATTTTTACATTCGATGTATTCCTCAAAAGTCAAAATATGCAAAAAAGTAAGTAGAGTGTGTTTCGCAATTATGTTCCATTTTTTTCATACTTTTCTTAGATTGCTGTAGATTGTTGGTTGTATTCGAGTTGAGTAGTTAAAAACAAATGAATTTGGTAAACGGGCAGCTGAATTTTATTTTTAATATTTGAAATTTTACTACAAATATTTGAGTGAAGTAATGTTACTTTCATATATTTTTTTCTTTGACAACGAATGGTTTCACCAATTCCACTCAAAAGCCTAAAACTAGCCCATAAATAATGTAACAGATATTGCGTTTGCCGATTGAAATACCTGCATTTTTTAAACTGACACAACAACAACACGAATATATGCATAGATGAAAACAACACATTTTTTCTATAAAATTCCTAATTTGTCTTTTTTAGAGGAAAGTTCACTCCAAAATCCATGAAAACTTCTGACAGAGAACACAATTACTTAACAAAATGCAGGAGAATGTCAAATTAAGAATGTAAAATCGAAACGGCGTATGCTCTATAGAGATTGATACGAATGTATTGCTGTGATTGAATACGATGCACAAGATGTCTTCTCTACATAAGTTAGAGCAAGAGAAAGGATTCATTATTAAGCATTAAGTTATCTCAATTATCAGCTACACAACTACGTTTAAAATATTTGCCGCAAGCTTCTTCGTATAGCCTCCGCTGATTGCTACGCACGCTACACACATCTAAGAGAGCGTGAGCGAGTGAGCTTGAACCGCAGCATACAATAAATATAAACAAAATGTGTATTACACACAGTGATGACAATCTCGTTGGAAGTGGGTACCAAATAAAGCGTTGTGATGCAAATGAATCATGAATAGACTCTATTCAATGAAGAAAGCTGATCTCCTTGAACAGCGTGACAACATAAAAATGAATTTATCAAAATCAAGATAAACCGATGTTTGTGTTTCGTCGCAAAACAACTAAATTAGACGTCATGCGAAGTTAAGTTGAATTGAATTCAAAACAATAGAATATTCGAAATTTGGTAACTGCTTTATTGTTTTCCACACAATTTAAAACACTGATACTTTTCTCCTGCCGTATACATTTCTCCGGTGATAATCGTGTACTTTTTGTAGAGATCGTGTAAATAACATCACATAATTTCATCCATATATTAAGGCACCGTCATTCATGTTCATGAATTTGCGTTAGAATGTGTATGCCGATAAGAGCCGACGCTCTATTACACATTGTTCTTCGAATATATTAATTATAATGAATAGGTTTTCCTTAAACGCTGTATAAATTCTGCATTATGGTCCCCTCATTTCTCACGGCGATCGCTTCTCGCATTGATTGATACAATGAAAATCTTACGACCCAAAAGTGATAAAACACATACGTAATCATTAGCACTAAAATGTTTGTTAAACAAATAAAATGAATGAAATCAATCAATTTGTCAAAGAAAAATATATTTACCTCCGACAATAAGATTGAATATAACGATATACCATCCATATATCTCCCAACCTTCTCCTGAAGGTGCTAATAAAATCAAATAAATTGTAACGTAAAAACCGAAGAAAAACACGAACACTAATGACAACATTATCTCAGGTAACATTATCATTGGCTTCTCCTGAAATTGGAACGTTTTATTTTTTATTTTTGACAATGAATTAAATTCAACTTCATTCATAATAAACCAAATTTTTGTCATCAAATGAGAGATTTTATTATTTAAAGAGGTTACCTACTCACATCGAAAATGCCCCAAAGCCATAGTACATTTGAAAGAATACTGATGAAAAATGAAGCGCATACAAATGGTTTCAATTCAACGGCATCGACCTGCAAAAAGTGACTAATAAAAACAGTATTTATAATTGTTTCAAAATTGAATATCATCTCACAAGTCTATGATTCCGTATTTGATCGCGGTGTTCAGCTCGTAGATATTGAAGCAGATATTAACAACACCAAGTATGATGGCTGACAATTTCAAATTTATGCAATAACAACAATATTTTACACGTTGATTTAAAAAATTCATTTCGATGAAAATACGAATCAATTTAATATATTTGGAACTAGGAAGAAGAGCGATATTTGGTGAAGACAATGATCACAACCAGACTAAATGCTGAAAATGTCAAATTGTGAATTTAAAATTGATCACACCGCGTATACTCTCGGTATAAATTAGATTGTTGGATATGTTTAAACGCGTAAACAACAGACATATCTATCGTAAGCTTCTTCATGTAGCATCCGCAACGAGTGGAGCGCAACGTGTATCTGTTGGAAGCGTAATGACGATGAATGCTTGAACGCAACATATGATTTACGCCATTGGGTAAACTGAGCACGCAACCGACAGGTAGGATGGAATCATAAAAACAACGGAGAAAATTCATTGAAGAACGTTGAACACTGCGAACGAGAAACAAAAGGGGCATGAACCTTAATGAATTCTGTTTATGAATTTAACATATCACAAAAACACTTCAGAAAATGGCACCTCTTTATTCTTTCAATCATAAAACTTTATTGACTTGTGACTAAATATTTTCCTTTTCGAAGAAACCTTTGGTAAACAATTCATTCATTTATACATCAGGTAGTTTTTCAGAAGCAGTTCTATAAATACGAAAATGTGAAAGACTGGAAAATATTCATCCCTTAATTTGAGTTGCTCGCAAAAAGTGCATTTTTGTCACTTTTTTTCATTAACACAATTTGTAAATAGTAATGACGCCAAGTTTAAAAAAAATATTTACAGTCTCATAGGTCATTCAAGTGGTGTTCTCATGAACCATAACTTCAGCAATGTGTTCATAGATAGATGCGCATCACCATTCAATGAAATGGCATTCATTAATGTGCTTTAGTCTACATTCATTAATGTGCATCTTACGGCATCTTCTCTAATGATCGTCTGCATTTTGATCATAGTCAAGCGTCTCATGCGACATGTTTGGTAAAATTGCAGTAACTTTGGATAAGAAAAACTCATTCTTAAATTAAAACTGAAGCAGTAAACATCAAATATGAAATATTTTGTGAAAATGAAGTAATGTTTCAATTAAAAAAGTGAAAAAAAATGTGCAAACACCCAACAAAGTAAATAACCTCCAGTTTTTAAAATTGCATCAATTGAAAATTGTATTTTTCCCCTAAAAAAATGGAATTATTTACATCAAATGTAAAATTGTTGCTTATATCCTGTTTATTTCTGTTGGCAAGTGTGAAAACGACGCAAATTTTTGAACATGACATATTAGTTGAATGGCCATCAAACAATGTAACGCGAATAAAACGAGCGGCAACGGCACAAAAAGAACGAATTTGGGATTATGGTGTGGTGCCCTATGTGATTGACGGATATGTTGGATTTAGCGGTGATCAAAAAGCTGAATTCGTCGAAGCAATGCAACATTGGGAGAATTTTACGTGCATTAAATTTGTGGAGCGCAATGCAAGCATACACGACAATTTCATTCGATTCACCAAATTGGATTGCGGTTGTTGTTCGCATGTTGGTAAACAAGGTAATGGCGGTCAAAATGTGTCGATCGGTAAAAATTGTCATAAAAAAGGTGTAATTGTTCATGAATTGGGGCATGCAATCGGTTTTTGGCATGAACACACTCGGCCCGATCGTGATGAGCATGTTAAAATCTTAAGCGAAAATATTCTCACCGATCACGAACACAATTTTCTCAAATTAACCTATGCCGAAGTCGATTCGTTGGGCGAACCATACGATTATGGTTCAATTATGCACTATGCACGGAATTACTTTTCGAAGCATATGTATGATTCAAAAATATCAACGATACAACCGAAAAAGGGAAAAAATGGACGACGACCGCGCATTGGTCAACGAGAGCATTTGAGCCCAAGTGACATTCGCCAAACGAATAAACTGTATAAATGCCCGGCTTGTGGTGAAACATACCTTGGTCCACAGGCAACGTTTACGTCACCCAATTATAAATCGAGTTCCAGCAAAGAGTACCGATGTGAATGGCGAATTTCGGCAACACATGGTGAACGAATTCTTCTAAATATCTCGGACTTCGACATGTTTCAGTCGGCTTATTGTAAAAGTGACTATTTGGAGGTTCTGGATGGCTATTGGCATAAGTCACCGTTACTCGGTCGATTTTGTGGCCCAAAAATTGAAAAGCCGATGCTGATTTCGACGGGAAATCGAATGGTTATAAATTATATTTCAGTACACAGTGAATATCGAGGTTTTTCTGCCAAATATGAAGCGGTTTGTGGTGGTGACATAACAATTGTCAATGGATATAAGATTGAATCGCCCAACTATCCGCAAATGTATTTGCCGAACAAGGAATGTATTTGGCGCATCACGGTGCCACCGACCTATCAGGTTGCAATGGAATTTCATTCGTTTGACTTGGAAGTACATTCAACCTGTCGCAATGATTTCATCGAAGTTCGTGACGGTGACAGTGTAAAATCGCGTTTAATTGGAAAATACTGTGGCAATTCATTGCCACCGATTTTGGCATCGACTAAAAATAAAATGTACATTCGCTTTGTGTCGGATGAATCGACATCAGCACGTGGTTTTTCGGCCGTTTTATTTCAAGAGATTGATGAATGCACACTGAAGGAGCATGGCTGCGAACAAAATTGTATAAACACACTGGACGGTTATACGTGTGCATGTCGACTAGGCTATAAGCTACGATCGGATGGAAAAACGTGTGAAGTGAAATGCGGCGGAGTGATCACAACACCGAATGGTACCATTCAATCGCCATCATTCCCATATCCATATCCGGCGAATGAAGAATGTGTTTGGGAGATTGTATCACAGGAACCGAATCGAATTACGTTGAATTTCACTCATTTTGAATTGGAAGGTAGTCAACTGATGCAAGAAGAATGTGATTATGATTCGGTTGCGATTGCGTCAAAATATCGTGACGGTCGCTTGGTGCGACAAGGTATCTTTTGCAGTGAACTTCTACCACCGTCTATTACGTCCGAAACTAATGTAATGCGCATCAAATTTCAATCGGATAAAAATGTGCAAAAAATGGGATTTTCCGCTATTTTCACAACGAACATTGATCGATGCGCTGTGAACAACGGTGGATGCAAACATATTTGCGGCAATACGTTGAATGGCATCAAATGTTCATGTAAAAGTGGCTTTATTCTACATGAGAACGGACAAGACTGTGTTCCAGGTGGTTGTCGATATGAGATTACAGCACCAGAAGGTATAATTCAGAGTCCAAACTATCCGCAACACTATTTTAAGAATACAGATTGCATTTGGCATTTTAAAGCGATTCATGGACATCGACCGATTTTGGAATTTCAACAATTTGATCTGGAGGACGATTATGATGAGTGTACAAACGATTATGTGACCGTGTATGTCAGTGTGGATCCATTAAAACGAATTTTTGTAGCTGGCGACATATTCACACTGGGCACTTATTGTGGATCAATGTCAAAGTCGGATTCATTGCGATTGCCACCGGTCAAACCAGTCCGATCACCATCCGATGACCTTTTTATGGCATTCAAAACGGATGCTAGTGCTCAGCGGAAGGGATTTCAGGTCAAACACTCGACTGCATGCGGAGGACATTTCGATGCAACATCAACTACCAAATATATTTATTCACATGCCCGATTCGGCGATACATTTTACGATAATAATACGAGCTGTGAATGGATTATAAAACCAAAGCAACCCGGTATGAGAATTCATTTGAAATTTCTGGAGTTTGATGTGGAAAAGGACCCGGAATGTTTATTCGATTATGTTGAACTTTTTGAAATGCAAAGCAATCAAGATTGGACCATTTATGGCAGATATTGCGGAGATGATATGAAAATTGAAGTGGTCGCATTAAGACGGTTGATGATTCGGTTTGAAACCGATGAAAGTGACAGACAAAAAGGATTCTCTGTTTCTTACAGCGTTGCTAATGCGGCAACACTTCGAGATTTTAACAGCGGCTCAACGCGATTTACACGACTTCGAAATGATATCGTTGATTGAGAATAATAATTAAATTTTATGTGAGAAATAGTGTGACGATAATATTAATAAGTACTTTTTGTCATCTTCACAGAAAATATTTTGAATGTATGTATATTAAACAATTAGATCATTGACTTCAATAAAAAATAAATTATATTAAATTGAGTTTTTCGTCCTAATTTTCATTTAATTATATTTTGAAACGATACCTTTTTAATTTGATTTCAAGCACGGGTGGTCATTGAATTCATCCACAATTGAATATGGCAAACTTCGTGTCGATTTATGACGTCTCCCATACATTCGATATATTGCGCGCCAATTGTGATCGTGACAGAGTCAATCAATTCATTGTCCGTGGTACAAGAAGGCAAATCACACGTATACAGCCATCAAAAAAGGAAATACATTTCACAGAAAGAGAATTTTCACTTGATTTCTGTACAAATAAAACGTAAAGGTAAGTTTTCTGAGTATTTTCAATTTGAGCAGATCGTATATCCTTGTTTATATTGAAATTCAACGATTGAATTGAGTAGAAAAAAATGTGGTATTGATACAAATGGAGGGATTCCATAACCTCACATTTCCATTCTTAGTGCATTGAAAGCTTTTCCCCTAATTGACTAATTTCATGCCTTTTGTCTCGCAACATTTTGACATTTGATGCTTGTTACCACAGTTGATGTTGTGTAGCACATACATGTGTATTGAATAGATTTGTTTCGTTTTTTTCTGATTTATCGCAGTCGAAATAGCAATGAATCCGTATCAAAGTAAAGGAACTTGCTGTGGAAAGATGAAGCGCAAATGCAAGTGCAAACGATCAGCCACAAAGGTCACTGTGAAGCAAGAAGTTGTGGTCAAAGAAGAACCCACGGATGGCATCGAATTGCTTCATTATCCACTACCACCGTCGCCAGTCGAAGCTAATGCCTCAATCAAATCAGAGAGCGAAAGTGACAGCGATTTTGATCCTGTGAAGAAGGAAATTAAGTGCGAAGACGAATGCTTGACGAAAAAAGACGAAAAAGATGAAGACGGTTGTTCGAAAGCTGAAGCAGATAGAGATGAATTAGTTGGTAAAGACTCAAGCGAACCAAGACCAAAATTGAACAACAAGGGAGCAAATCGGAAACGAAAAGGCGACGTCAAGAAGAACAAAGGCGCAAAAAAAGAACGCAACGGGAAAATATCGAAGAAACCAGTGGCAAGTGCACAGAAGAAATACAAGTGTCATTTGTGTGATTATGCTTCAACGCTAAAATCAGATGTCACAAGACATATTCGAACCCACACTGGCGAGAAGCCCTTTGAATGTGAAATATGTGCCTTGGCTTTTGCAGACAAAAGCAATTTGAAAAAGCACAAGAAAATCCATGGTCCAAAATGTACATTCAATTGTTCAAAGTGTCGTAGAGGATTTACAGAAGAAGCTGAAAAAATCAACCACGAGAATGGATGCAAAGCTCACCAGTACGCGTGCTACTTATGTGGAACTACCACTTGTGATGTGTCAAATCTAAAGCGTCACATGAGAATCCATAGTGGCGTTAAGCCATTCAAATGCCATGTTTGTTCCAAAGCATTTGTAATCAAACAGAATCTAAACAAGCATTTGCGGACTCATGTAAAACAGCTGCGGTTTGCCTGTGTCAAATGTGGTGAACGATTCGCTCAAGAAAATGAAAAACAATTGCATGATGATCAATGCAAAGGCCGACGATACGAATGCTATCTATGTCCATATCAATGTTTTGCCAAAGGGAATTTGAAACGACATATGCAAGCAAAACACTGGGGTGAAAAGCCATTCCAGTGTGGTGTTTGTGAAAAGAGATTTGTTCAAAAAGGCGAACTTAAGCGACATTCGGCTACGCATGCCAAACAACGTCCGTTTCGTTGTGCCAAATGTTATCGACCATTTGCACAAGAATACGACAAGAATGCACACGAAGGACGCTGTAATCGTCGCCTGCATCAGTGCTACTTATGTAAAGTTTCAATGGTTCATTCACATCAATTGAAGCTGCACATGCGAAACCATCATACCGGTGAAAAACCATTTCCATGCAAACTATGTGATGCACGTTTTGCAATGCAAGCAACTGCTAAACACCACATGAAAACTGTTCATCGTCAGAAGGAGTAACCGAATATTCATCGGAAAGCATTTAAATCACATAAAATTCTTTACAAAACTTTTTACATCTTTTTACATACGATCAAAATTACAGAATAAAGATCAAATAAATTCATACACAATTCCTTTGACTTAAAAACAACAAAACAAATA